TAATAGGAAAGTTAATAAAGTTTTCCAATACATGGAGAATGAAAGAGAGAAAGAAAGAATTTAGTTAGGGAAAATCAAATTATTTATTGACATTTTCTAAATTGCCATGGTGTTTCCAAATTTTACATATAACTAATAAGATAATAGACAAATCAATAATTTTTCTTTGCATGGAAGATAGAAAAAGAGAGAACTTAGTTAGTAAAGCTCTCATCAGATTATTTTTGATGACATTTTCCAAATTGCCACCGTGTTTCCAAACTTATCTGTACATACATGTATAACTAATAAGATAATAGACAAGTTAATAAGATTTTCAATGCATGGAAGATATTAGAAAAAGACAGAGAGAGAACGTAGTAAAACTCTCATCAAAATTTCAAATTATATGATGACATTTTCCAAATTGCCACGGTGTTTCCAAATTGATGAAAGCGCCCGGTGGAATGAAGCTGACCTCACGGCAACACGTGAGCCCTGTCTGGTCCTGCTCATTAGCCAGACGAGTTTTCAATTAACGTCGTTCGATTTCGCGTTCCAAACGGATGAGTGTTCGGGCCACAGGTCGCAAGTATCCACCTCTCAATCAATACGGGCTTTATGTTTCGGGATTATCGCAGATGGATTCATTGATTTTCATAATGTCGCCCTTTTCTTGGCTCCGTTCAGCCGTATAAAGTTACTTAGAAGCGTTGTTATCCATAACCTTTTAGTAGTTTTACTTTGGCAGGCTGATTCAGTGTTGGGCATCTTGCTAATAGGGCTAGCTGCAAATTTGAGCTACGATCTACCTTTCTTGTTGAAATACAGTTAGAACAAAAATGGGCACATCTAACAAAGGATGATAATGATATATTCATACAAATATTGTCTTCTGTTAACCATGATGTATTAGAAGCGTTGTTATCCATAACCTTTTACTTTTGTAGCAGGCTGATTCAGTATTGGCTCCTTGCCATATAGTTTAACGCTAGCTGCAAATTTGTGGTGTTTTGCAATTTGCAAAACCTACTGTAACAGTACTCAGCTATGCAGGGTTGGTCATATACATGTACTAATAGACTGAACGAAGGTAAGTATCCAGCCCAAACAAAAATGTCTTAGAAATTTAGACTAGTCGTTAATAGTTTAGCCATCTGTTAGATGTTAATGATACCAATTAAGCAGCCACCAACCAAACAACCATCCATACTACCAAGCAAGCAAGCAAGTGACCGACCGACCGACCGACCGACCAACCAACCAACCAACCAACCAACCAACCAACCAAATGTACTGTAACATACATGTAAATGTACCAACCAACCAACCAACCAACCAACCAACCAACCAACCAACCAACCAACCAACCAACCAACCAACCAACCAACCAAGCTGTCCTGTTACACACCATCCAACTAACCAAGAAGTAACCAAGCAAGCTTGCAAGCAACCATCCATCTACACATCCATCCAACAAAGTTCCAGTTACTAGACCCTAATCCTGACTTAATTAGTGTAATAACTATCCTCTCCGTTAGCGGAGTGTCTCGGTAACCCGACACCAGCGTAGCTCCCAGTCCAGTTGTTACCCCACAGGTAGCAGGTGTAACAAGCAACTAACCAACCATCCAAGCAAGCAACCAACCAACCAACCAACAAGTTAAAAAAAGATCTAGCTACATTTGTACAACATTTCGAGTTGTCCTGTAAGTTACATGCCAACCAATTGCAACTAACCAAGCAAGAAACTAACCAACTAAGCAAGCAAGCAAGCAACCAATCATTCATCTACACATCCATACATCCAACAAAGTTCCAGTTACTAGACCCTAATCCTGACTTCATTAGTGTAATAACTATCCCCTCCGTTAGCGGAGTGTCTCAGTAACCCGACACCAGCGCGGCTCCCAGTCCAGTCGTTACCCCACAGGTAGCAGGTGTGCCGACGCAGGTTTTATGGCGACAAAATTGATTTTCACTGCCACAATTTGCTACAGTTCCAACCCCTCATAGCGGAACGCCGGTCTGGGGAATTGCTTTTGCGTGTGGCCAGATTTCTTAAGCTCCATTACGCAGACTTTCGTGTCTGAAGCTGACTTAATTTTTGGAAACAAATTTGGGGGAATTTTACCCAAGTTAACTCCTGATGGCTAGTAGCGTATCTCGGAAATTGCTTTTTGTGTCTGCAAAACAGCATTATGCTGACTTTCTTATCTGAGACTGAGTCAATTTCTGAGTTGCAAACAAGAACCGTTTTACAACTCAAGACAGATTGAAGCAAATCCTAGGATTGTAGGAATGGCTTCTGTGCATGGAGGCAATTTATCTAGCTACTTTGTAGATGCTGAATTGATGTTTCTACCTGTTATACTTATAGCTAGAAGCAGGTGTTGGGAAGTGCTTTCGTGTGATGGCAACATTTTTGGAGCTTCTGTATAATTATACTCTTCTACATGTAGCTAAGGCCTAGGAAAAAATGCTGTGTTTCCTGTTTCAGCCCCGAAAAACTTAGGGTTGGTAGGTAGGGATTATCTTTTTTTCCTTCGTTTTTTTAATCAGACTTTGGTGATGTCAAGTGATCCAACATATGATTACAATACAGTAGAACAGTTGCATTAGGACGCATATTTTCAAAGTCAATGTTGGAAAACTGAATCGGATGTACAATGTTTTATCACTTAGGTGTCAGATCATGGAGCTAGAAAAGGTCCACAAAAAAGGCCAGCTTTGGTAGTTTTTTCTAGGGTCGGCCGTGAAACAGGAAACAGAATTTTTTTTCCTAGGCCTCATCTTCCTCTGAACCTGACTTGATTTTCGATGTCTTGTTTTTACTTCCGAGGCAGAAAGCAGGCCTTGGGAATTACTGTTGTTCAGGGGTCAGAATTCTTAAGACGCAATTACACTGACTTAATTTTTGTTCTTCTCCGTAACTGACTTCATTTTCTGAGGCAAATTAGGGCGGATTCAATCTTCGATTCAATCTTCTCGGTGTATAAAGTCTTTAACCTCTCCTGTACCTGTACAAGGTTGGATCAAATTACATGCTAGGGATGAGCATAACCCTCTCGTTTGCAAATCAGGGCTGGAAATACCACCTGCATATGAAGGGTACATGTAGTGCAGTTAGAATTGGAGCTGTGCAGGTATTTCTGATGTCTACCTGCACCTAACCTGCACTGGTCCATGTACTGGGTATATGCAGGTTAGTGCAGGTAAAATTGGAGCTGTGCAGGTATTTCTGATGTCTACCTGCACCTAACCTGCACTGGTCCATGTACTGGGTATATGCAGGTTAGTGCAGGTAAAATTGGGGCTGTGCAGGTATTTCTGATGTTCACCTGCACCTAACCTGCACCAGTCCATGTAGTACTGGGTATATACAGGTTAGTGCAGGTAAAGTTGAAGCTGTGCGGGTGTTTCTGATGTCTACATTGAACCTGCACCTAACCTGCACTGGTCCCTTGGGACACTAGGGGGACATATGATTATGAGTTATGACCAAATGTGGTCAAAAACTTCCTTGTATTTGTAACACCATTGAAAACAGCAGAGAACTTACATTGTACAGTCAGGATGATAATACCACCTGTATGTACAGGTTATCCGTTATACATTCAGTTCTATGGATACTAGTAAATATATTCATTATGTTGAGTTTAACGTATCTTTTACACTACTGGTATGGTAAGGTCTAAACTTTCTTTGACATATTTGCCAATTTGTACGCTCATTATATAAGGGTTATCTCCTCCAAGATATTATCTGCACCAGAATTACAGGGATGCTGAAAAAGCTGTTTTTGAGCCCTGCTAATATTGCAGTGCATGCACAACTGTACATAGTGGTCTAAGAGTCACTAATCCTGCCTCTGGGTCACAAGATTGGGTTTTGAAGCCTGGCCTAGAGCTGGTCATTTTTCAGAATACCCTCCACAGGTAGGCCTATCGTGGAGTCTTAGCACTTTTATTAACTTGACTGTGAACAAGCTGGATAGAAAAGTAAAACTCTTTCTATTTAAAGTTTCTTGCAATAAATAGGAGAAAGAGTGTTACTTTTCTCATTATTCCAAGCTAACTAAAGAAGAAAGTTTGATAGGTTTGATAACTGTCAGAGTGGAAAAGGTACTAAGGGAACATCTCTGTATGTAACCTTGTGTTAGCAAGATTGTGATTTTATCACAATCTGTGGTGTCACAGCCATGGTCATCCTACTCCACTCTGCCATCTATATAGAACTGTCTTGGGTCTTACACATGTATATGACATGTACAAATGTAGTTTCCTAACACAGCAATATTTTATACATTTTGTACATTGTACATCTCACATCTTTCCACAGACTGAACCACTGGTTTGCGGGGGGTTTGTCCCAGCCATGCTCGTTCCACGCGGTGAACCTGCTACTCCACGATGCCATCTAGCTGCATACAACTTTGTCAAATATGTTCATGTAGTAGCTAACATTACAACAAGTACTGTACACTAATCTTGCTGCATTTATGTATCCACAGACTGAACCACTGGTTTGCGGGGGGTTTATCCCAGCCATGGTCTTTCCACGCTGTGAACCTCCTGCTCCATGCTGCCATCTACATACATTCTACAACTGTCTTACAAATGTACAGATATTTTTCTAACATGGTAATATCTAATGCACTAATCTGGCTGCCTTCGTCTTTAGGCTGAACCACTGGTTTGCGGGGGGTTTGTCCCAGCCATGGTCGTTCCACGCTGTGAACCTACTTCTCCATGCTGCCATCTGCGTACAACTGTCTTACACATGTACAATGTACAAATGTAGTCTCCTAACATTACAATATACATGTACTATATTCTAATCTTGCTGCATTTCTCCACAGACTGAACCACTGGTTTGCGGGGGGTCTGTCCCAGCCATGGTCGTTCCACGCGGTGAACCTGCTACTCCATGCTGCCATCTGCGTACAACTGCTGCGCGTGTTTTCCGTCATCTTCGGTGGAGTTCGACACGATATGTCGGGGAGACGGATCTTCGCAGCTCCGAGGGCCAGTCTCCTCGCTGCCATGCTGTTCGCTGTCCATCCTGTACATACAGAGAGTGTAAGTCAGTTTAAAAATGAAATGTTGAAAAAGTCAGTTTGAAAATTTAAAATGCAGGAAAAAGTTAGAAAAACAAGTTATTGTGAAAGTTCATCTGTGTTGGTAGTTACATGTTTAAAGTTAAAACTTTTGATCCAACACAAGAAAGTTCTCTCACCTAGAGCTTTCGACCAGTCACTCTGGTCTTCCTCAGTAGACTGACCCAGTGAAGCTTGTCACATGGCTTCTTTGAAGTGTTACGTCAACACTGGGTCGAAGGTTGGTAGATGATGTCCCTCCCAAATTTAACTCTAATTTACAATTCAAATTCGATTTGATCCGTATAAAAAAGATAGTACTAAGTGTAGTAGTGACCTAAATCTGGTCAGACTGCTCCCAAACTTCATCAGCCAACCTTTTTTGGTTGGTGGTTGGGGGAAGGTTCTGAATGTGTGACAGTCCGAGTGCAGGAGCTTAAAGTACCAGACACTGTAAGACTTGGATCAACATTATCAGGAGTAAGCAGAGATAATGCACATCGGAAAGCAGAGTGCTTTTGGATTACTTTTTTTGCTGTCTTTCTCCCTTTTGTTTTGTTGAAACACACCAAATCTTCGCCTCAAGGCCCCAGACATGGTAAGGCTTAGATCAACAGCCATAGGTGTTTCCCAAGACTATTAGTATTTATTTTATTCTTGACTTACTTGACATATGCCAAGTCCTGGCCTCCAGTCAAAATGGGAGACTATTGCTAGTGATATTGTAGTATTGAGTTACTTTCCACACAAGCAATTTTAGAGTTATTTGCTTCTAATGTTTCAGTCTAGACATACTGTTACTTTCCTCAGGGCAATACTGACTAGCTCTAGATCTACTTCCCAATCCTGCCAACATGATGAAACAGTTTGCTGACAAACACAGCCTGAAGTTGCCTTTCCTTCTGTAGATCAAGTTTAGTCTGTGTCTTCTGAAGTGGAAAAATACCAACGTCAGGCTAGAGTATAATCTTTTGGCTTGAAGTATTCAGCCAAAGTTAATGAAATATTTGCACAGATGTGATGATAGCAGAGAGCTTTCTTTTCTTAGTAATTTAGGTTGTGCCAGTCAAACAACTGAATTGTTGTCTAACACAACAATTGGATGTGAAACACCAAAATGCAAACATGGAATTCAAAGTAAAACTGCTTTATAGGTGAAAGTTCTGTAAGCAAAATTGAGATGATTTGGTCTCAAAAATGTCTTCTGTAACTTCTTCAAAAAGCAGTTATCTACTCAATAAGTAACGTCTGACCATTTCCAAAATCATATCCAGTTGCTTGAGTAACTGCTTTTTGGCATATCTTATTACCCGAATGTCTGAATGTCTAACCTTCATTCATGCATTATAAAGAATCGTTCCAACAAAAATGTAACTTTGTTACATCTCCCTTTCTGCGCCTCCCTGGAAAATTGCTATAACAGACTACTGCCATCATATAATGCCTGCAAAGCTAGTGTGGTATTCCTACTGGCTGTTATGCCGTTTGACTAATTCCAATTCATATCCAAACGTATGTGTTGCTTTATGGAAGCTGACACATTCTGATACTCCCATCGATCACAGTCAGTCTTGGTAAGAAGTTTTTTTTAGGCAGGAAGTCCCAACTTAGGTTGATACTCCCAACCCTCAATCACTTACACTTGTCCGTGTCATCGTTAGTACAGTTTGTGTTTGAAGCAAGGTTGAACTGTTATCTCCAACACAAATATTGGACTGAGTGTATATAACTCCAGTCTTTTTACAACGCACATGTAGTGTCACAGAAGCGATGGATTGCTCATTATTTGACAGACAGATTATGACTCGACAGTACATGTAATGGATCATACTAAAAATTGATTTGCAGAAAGTTTATGGCTTCTAGTAAGTCTATTCCTCTAGCTGGAGATGGACAGTTGAAAATTTGGGTTTTAAAAATTCCAATTTCTGTGTAGGAATTTACACTTCAACCAAGTGCCTATAACCTCCTTGGCTCAACCTTGCCTCACTATGTTGTGTCAATCTCTTTCAGTTACTGTTAGTCAGTCTCAATGTTGTGTCAATAAAAATTGTCATAATGTATGATTTCTACCAACACAGATGGACTTTTAAACTAAGGAACAGTAACTGTTAGTGGTTGATTTCTTTTTCCAGTGAATTACATGTAGATGTATGTCTAAGTTGTCTAATGTTTCTATGTGATGTTTTTCTTGCCAGGTTGCAGGAGTGGTGGGGAGGGCAGAGCTGCTCTGTGCTCTCTTCTTCTTCTCAGCCTTCCTGTGTTACGTGCGCTCATGTCATGAAGGTGAGTTCAAATGACAGTTTCTATTAGACTCAAATTTGTGTCCTGGCTAAATCTTCTGGCATACGATTCAGTCTGCTGTTTTGTAGCAAACCATTGTTATGGTCTTAAAGTTAAAGGTCTGAAATCAGGGCTGTCTGCCAGGAAGTAGAAAAATGGCAGAAAAGTGGGATATTTTTCTTCATATACTGACATTAACCTTCTCCCTGCTGCCTAACCCCATAGCCAATAGAGAATTGGCAGCCAATGTGCTACTTCAGTGTGCTAAAGGTTAATCTTCTCCCTGCTGCCCAACCCTATAGCAACCCATTACAGACTCCGAATTGGTAGCCAAACGGCGACTTCAGTGGCCTAAAGTTTAACCTTTTCCCTGCTGCCAAACAGCCACTTTAGTAGTGTGCTAATGGCCAAAGAAGTCAATATATGTAACTGAGAATGATCTTGGCAGTTTCTTTTCCTTATAACTCTCAACAACAGTTCATTAGAATGAGCTTTGTATAACATAACAGATCGTCAAAGACCTGAACAGATGGTAAAAGCTGATAAAGGACAGCAAAATCCATGACTAAATTTCTTTTTATAGGGAACCAAAGAATTTGGGAATGATTCTAGGTAGTATAGCCTTCATTGTTGGTGAGTTGCCAAGAACGGAGTCAAAAGATTGTATTGATTGAAGTCAAACTGAGAAAGAAAGACAGCTGAACATTGACAGTGTATTTGACACACCATTTGAAAGGAAAGCAACCCATGCCTGTCTTTTTATAGATAGACAAAGAATTTGGGAATGATTCTAGGTAGTATAGCCTTCATTGTTGGTGAGTTGCCAAGAAAGAAGTCAAAAGATTGTATTGATTGGAGTAAAACTGAGAAAGAAAGACAGCTGAACATTGACAGTGTATTTGACACACCATTCAATACCATTGAAGAAAGTGCCTGGTTGTGCCTTTTCAGCTCTAGGCATTAAGAAAATGAAAGGAAAGTGGGAAGTTTGTCATCCGCAGCTTGTATTAAAGAAGTCAATAGCAGGGGATTTGATGATGAGATGATATCAAACATAAAACGGCACTTGACAACTGAAAAGGACACTTCACAGAAGAAAACGAACCCATTCCTCACTCTTTATTTGGAAGCTAAGAATTTGAGAAGGATCCTGACTAAGTATATTCTTTGTGTGCCAAGTCTAGAGAGAAGGAAGACCTATTGAATTTCAGTTAAAGTAAAAGGCAACACATCTCGATGTAGAAAATGTATTTGACACGTCGCTCAATACCACTGAAGAACGAGCCTCAGTGCCTTTTGCAGGTCACGAAATCAGAGCAGTTCATTGAAATGAATGTGCGTCGTAACTCCTATAACACAGCGCCGGAGATTTAGCGCGGATCCATACAAGTACGATGCGTGGAAAATTGGGAAACGGAGCGTGATCCTGCCCCTTAGCTGAGCGCCTGCCGTGAAGAAATGATCGCATTATTACTGGGTGTAAAGTAATCCATGGACTCCCCTCCCCAAGCCAAATAAACCCTCAGGCGGTCCGTTAATGGTCACACGCGTCGTTGGGAAAGCCGTCCGCACCTACTTCAAACGCGCTGGCACCTGATAAAAGACGTTACAGGTTTTTCGGCGGCTTATTTCTTCCCCGTGCCAATTTCCCGCGGTGGTTGCGTGCGGGTGATAGGGGATGAAGCAGGCGTTATCAACACCTGCTGACATACATGTAAAGTTTTTATGGCAACCTGCGGGTGTTTTTGATGTCTTTTTATGTACCAAGGGACACCCCAAAAAAAACCAGGCCCATGACCTGAGTATGATTTATTATAGACAAAATGAAAATGAATGGATGAGTGTTTTTTTTAACCCTCAAGCAAATGTGGGACAGTATGTGTCAATATCATACAGAATATTTCAAATTTTGGTGCCCTGGAATTGCATTGGATGTCTTAACACGTGCTGACATACATGTTAAGTTTTTATGGCAACTTGTGGCATGTTTTGATGTCTTTTTATGTACCAAGGGACACCCGAAAAAACAGGTTATGGACCTCAGTATGATTTACTAGTATCCTAGACTACTGGTAACTGAAAATGAATGGGTAGCCCTATTCAGAATATTTCAAGTTTTGGCACCCTGAAATTGCATTGGATGTCTTACCATGTGCTGACTTTATGGCAACCTGTGGGCTTGTTTGATGCCTTTTTATGTACCAAGGGACACCCCAAAAAAACAGGTCCATGACCTGAGTATGATTTATTATAGACAAAATGAAAATGAATGGATGAGTGGGTACCCTCAAGCAAATGTGGGGCAGTATGTGTCAATATCATACAGACTGCCTTATTCAGAATATTTTAAGTTTTGGCGCCCTGAAATTGCATTGGGTGTCTTACCATGTGCTGAAATACATGTGAAGTTTTTATGGCAACTTGCGGGTGTTTTTGATGTCATTTTATGTATCAAGGGACACCCAAAAAACAGGTCATAGACCTCTGAATCGTTCAGTGTATAAAGAATGAATATAATGAATGATTGAGTGGGTAGCCTCAAGCTTATAAAGACCCCATCACACTTATTGAGCAGATTAGGGGTCAGGCCATGTGTGCTTTGACCTGAAATTCAAAAAAATATATTCATAGGATAATACACATTTATGAACATGGCTGTCAACCCCTGTATATATGTATACACCCAATCTTGCAGAAAAGAGTAAGGAAAATTGAGGTTATGACTACAACAACCTGTCACAGCTGAATTTTGCACACACACTTCCCAAGTTCCACCTGTTTGAGAGCTCTTTGTATGTCATTTGCCTAGACTTTCTCAAAGTCTAACACAGGCAAAATTTGTTGGTCATAACTCATATTGGCCCTGTAGCCAAAGAGCTGACCTGTGTAGGACCTGGAAATAGTCTGGCATCCAGGCTAGATGTTACCCAAGGCCCTACATGTATATAAGCTGAATATCTCTGTGCCACTTTGTGCAATTCAGGGAAGGTACACCATTTCTTTCCTTGTCAATTTATGTTTGAAACTGTGTAGTAGTAGGAAACAATTATAGACAATTTCCATGTCTCCCCTGACAGGAGCCCAGGACCTTCAGTGCTGTCCAGAGTCCTTCATGTTAGCCTACTACATGATTGTACATGTACAATGTATTTTACAGAATATCTCACTGTCAGGGGCTGGTCCTTTTATCCTGACCAGTGGAAGGGTTGCTAGAACTTAAAGAAGTGTGATGTTTTCAACTAACTAACTTTGCCATATATCACCTGCCAGGATCCCAGGACCTTCAGTGCTGCCCAGAGTCCTTCTCAGTGGGCTGGCTTGCGGCCAGTGTGGTCCTGTGTGCTGCTTCTGTGCTGTGTAAGGAGCAGGGAATCACTGCCATAGTAAGTGGGGTGTTTTACATTGTCATAGTATTGATTTTGAGAACTGAGACATTATTATAAAATGTAGTTATGTTTACCGAAGGGAAACATTATTGTTTTTACTCAATTTCCTCTTCTCCAAACACTAACCACTGACCTGGCCAATGACATGATTTGTTGACGTCTGTCACCATGGTGACTGGTGTTGTATTACATAATGTTGCAAACTTCATGGTCTGCTCTGCTCCTGTCACCATATACTAGTAGTACATGTATGTGAATTTGTTTGAGTAAAAATTAACAGGGCAGACCATGTCCAAAGGTAAACATTGTGCATTTGCTTTGCAAATGTTACTTTTCTAGTTATCATTTGTTTTCATCCTTCACCCTCTCCTGGAAGAATAGCTGCCACCCTTGGGTGGGCAGCTAAAGGAGAGTTTTTTCCACAATAAACCTCAATAAACCTTCATGCTTCAAAATAAGCATGAAAACAAGTACTGTACATTGATTTAGTACATTTACATTTTTGTACTAAATGACCCATACGACTTTCGATTTCCTATTCTGTTTGCTAGCTAACTACGCTCCTTTTTTTAACACTGCACACTCATTGCTTGTAAATGTAAATATATTGATTAATGGGTATTGTTAAAAATTGCATTTGAAGTGCTGGAGACGAGATTATTTGAAATGATCAACAGACACAGACATGTTCATTTCCAAGACTCCTCCCCCTTCGCCTTCAATTTGTTTGCTAACTTGCCATGGACTTTTTTTGTATTGTACAAGTAAATGATCTACATGTATACATATTATTGATTAACAATATAGTTCAAAAATTGTGTTTGAAGTGGTGGAGACAAGATTATTTAAAATGAGCAACAGACACAGACATGCTCATTTCCGAGACTCCAAAAGCTAACCTTGCTCATTGCAAGGCTATGATGATTGCCTGCTTCAATTTGTTTGCTAACTTGCTATGGACTGTTTTTTTTTGTGTTGTACAAATGATTTACATACACATACTATTGATAAACAGTATAGTTAAAAAATTGCATTTGAAGTGGTGGAGACGAGATTATTTAAAATGATCGACTGCCACAGACATGTTCATTTTCCAGGCTCCAGAAGCTAACCTTGCTCATTGCAAGACTATGATGATTGCCTACTTCAATTTGTTTGCTAACTTGCTATGGACCCTTTTTTGTATTGTACAAGTAAAATTAATGATATCTACATACACATACTATTGATTAACAGTAGAGTTCAAAAATTGCTTTTGAAGTTCTGGCGACATCATTTAAAATGATCAACTGACACAGACCTGTTCATTTCCAGACTCCGAAAGCTAACTTTCCTCATTACCTGTTTCCCCCTTCCCCTTGCAGGGTGTCTGTTCTGCTTATGACATCCTCATCTTGTGCCAAATAGATCCAAAAGTCTTCCTCGCAAAACTCCTGGCAGCTGACAAGTCCCTGCAGTTAGTCAGAAAACAGGTAGGGGGAGCTGCTGTATAGCTGCCTGTTGTGAATGAATGTCTTTAATGAATGTTGTGTCTAAGGAACAGGTTGTGGTATATAAAAGACTTTGTACCTAGCCATGGTTAAATTTGCAGTGTGTATGTTTCTTATATTCTTACACAAGAAAAAAACAAAAGTGTGGGTATTAACTATACAGTACTTTTTTTTTCCTTTAATAGGATTCTTCTTGTAAAAGTGTATTGCAAACAATTGTATTGGTGACTAAGTAGCCATAAAAGAAAAAAAAAATTATGAAGGTAAAATGCCACCCTCGTACACTTCTGAAGACTAATACTTACAATGTAGAAGTTGGGGATTTTCCCCATCTCAAATAGATATTAAGATAAGAAAGTTGTAAACCCTTGAAGTTAATATGTGTCCTGATGGTCTTTGAGGGTCCCTAAAGAAGACATCACCATCTTCTGGCTCCATTTTGTCCAACTCAAAGGACTTTTTTCCAAGGCTAGGAACTAGAAAACTTCATCTGTTAGAGTCACAAAGGACCTTTAGATAAGAAAAGGATTTTGGTCCTGATAAGTTTTATGTGTTTCTTGATGTTCTTTGCCAGTCCCTAAAGAAGACATCACCATTCCTTGGGTCCATTATGGCCATTTCAAACTGGATATTTGTCATGCTTGCACGTCTTGCCCCCCACACGAGACTTGCCCACAGCACATTATATGCCTCATTGCACATAACAGCAGTCATAAAATGCGTCGGGGTGACACAGTGCAATACTGTCTAGACTGGGAAATAGCTTGGGTGGTAGTTAGAATGATGTACAGTGTCTGCAGCAACCTTGCGGGATGCTTAGGTGTGCCTGAATGTGAACCAAGGCCCAATTCTCACTCATGATATTGGACAATGGGGAAAACAGTAGGCAGACAGTGTTTGGAATTCAAGGCATGCAAGGGCTAGGAATGTTCCTGGATATACTGGGAAGCTCCCATTTTATACAGTTTTTTTCTCGAGACAGACAGTGTTTAGAATTCAAGGCAGGGTCTGCAGGAATTAGGGTTGACTAGCACATGTACGAGGAATTGGAAGCCCAGATTTTCGTCATGTTTTTTGACAATGGGGAAAACAGTAGGCAAGACAGTGCTTTGAATTCAAGGCAGGGTCTGCAGGAATTAGGGTTGACTAGCACATGTACGAGGAATTGGAAGCCCAGATTTTCATGTTTTTTGACAATGGAGAAAACAGCAGGCAGACAGTGTTTGGAATTCAAGGCAGGGTCTGCAGGAATTAGGGTTGTCTAGCACATGTACCAGGATGTGATTGGAAGCTCTGATTGTCATTCATGATATTTGACAATGGGGAAAACAGTAGGCAGACAGTGTTTGGAATTCAAAGCTTGGGCCTAGAAGGAATCTAGGAAAGCAAAGATACGTCGATGAAGGTTAGACATCCAGGTAATACGATACGCCAAACAGTCACTGACGAAAGCTAGTGGATACTAGCTGAAACGTCTGACGTTTTCAAAATCATATCCAGTTGCTTGAGTAACTACTTTTAGGAAAGCAAAGGTCTAGCAATGTGATTGGGAGCTCCAATTTTCAGTCATGGTATTGGACAATTGAAATTCAAGGCAGGGTCTGCAGGAATTAGGATTGTCTAGCACATGTACCAGGATGTGATTGGGAGCCCAGATTTTTATTCATGATATTTGACAATGGGGAAAACATTGAAGACAGCGTTTGGAATTGGGCCAGGAATCCAAAGGATTGGAAACTGAGTGAGGGTCTAGCAAAATTAATGTACCTGGATTTGATTGGAAGCCCCAATTTTCATTCAAAAGTTTTGTTCACAATGGGAAAACAGTAGGCATGGACCAGGAAAGATAGGGTATGAAAGCAAAGGTCTAGCATTTGTACCTGGATGTGATTGGGAGCTCCAATGACATTCATTTTTTTAAGAAATTGGGAAAACGGATAATGTTTAGAATTCAAGGCATGCAAGGAAGTATTGGAAAATGAAAGTCTAGCAAATCATACTACATGTAAATGTATACCTAAATTTGGATTCTCTGATTTTTATTCATGGGGTTTGACAATTGGAGTAACAAGGCATTGCTTACATGTTGTATGTTTGGAATTCAAGTCATGCATTGGTAAGGAAAGACTGGAAAGTAAAGATACATGACTTGTACATTTATAAATGGCAAGATGAAAAATTTCACATTCTACAGTTAGTAGACTTGATTTCATATCGTCATTACCTTTAGTTACTGTAACATTATAAGTTATTACTATAATCACCAGATATCATGTACAAAATCCCAGAACTTTTCCCCAGGCAACAGATTACATCATAATGATTGAGACACCGACATTGGGCTCAGACTTCGTTATCTTAATTAACAATGATGATGTTGACGATGATCTTAAAGAAGACAAAATGGCATCAGTGAAATCCCAGAAAGCTTTCATCGTCTGTCTGTCTATGATATTTAATCATTACTGTCATCACTGTGAGATACACTGGTATAAACTTCTACATGTTATCAGGTACATGCAGTTTAGGTTGTATCTGTTATTAGTGTACTCACTAATTAGTTAATTACTGATACTGATTGATGTAATTACACTTTGGTATCAGCTAATTAGGCACACGTAACAGTTAATGGTAGAAATTTGATCTAATGCCATGTCTAGTCATTTGATTTTGCTGTATTCTGTTTGGTATAATGAACATTTATTATTGTCAATGATAAGATTATCCATGATAAAATTGTGCAATAATTGCAAATGATGGAAACTCTGAATTTGCTATACATGTATCTTTAACTACAATTGCAATGGATAGCCAGTCAGCACCAAGGACAGTCACATTCAGACAGTTTGGCCAACATTGCTTGTATACAAAATGTATCATGCTGAAAATAAACTAATGATATTGAATCAACTTAAAATATACATGTAAGAAAGGTTGACTACATCATGATCTGCACATCTAAAATGTTTGAAAAGTAAGAATAGAAAAGAAGAATAGGAGGTCTGGATAGAAAAAGAAAACTAAGAAAATGAACAAGGAAAAGAAGAGAAGAGAAAACCACCTCTGGACATCTCCAATTGGAAAAAGTAACAAGAGATGAGTACACTGGGAAGAGAGAATACAGAAGAGAAAGAAGTATATAAGCACATGTGACCATCATCTGACAAGAGTGAGCAGAAAAATAGAGACAACAAGTTTAGTTAAGTTAGAAATTCAAGTAAGGACATTAAAACTTTTCACCCATCTTCTCTTCCATGCATGAGTGAAGTTGTACTAACACCCCACCCCCTATTCCAGGGTCTGCCTGTGTGGGTGCGGTCCCTGTTACTACGACAACTGTTGCTGGTGGCGACGGGAGCTGCCATCATGACGGCTCGCTGGTGGGTGATGGGGTCCACGCCCCCTGCCTTCCAGCCAGTGGACAACCCTGCAGCCTTCGCTAAGGAACTCACCACAAGGGTCAGTACTCAACTTAAGTCTTAAGTTTATCTTTAGTGTCATCTTGTATTACAAATTTAGTTATACATGTATTGCAGAAGGAAAACATTTGCAGAAGGAAAATGTATTGAAAATGTAAAGAAAATGTATAGAAAAAATACCTTACAGAAGGAAAACATTGTTTTTGCTATTCTCCTTCTTCCTCTTCTTCTCCAAACAAAAAATGGCAATGACCTGGACCAGACAGCTGTCACCATGGTAACTGGTACTGTAGTGTTGGATTACATTATGTAGCAAGTGGCAGGACAGAGTTGGAGGGGCTGGTCATGAATTTGTTTGAGACTAAGAATAAACAGAGCAGTAGTTACTTGGGCTATACCATGTGAAGGTACTAAATATTATGCTTTCCAAATATCATCATATAATGTCTATAATGTCAATTATCATAACAGATAAACATTCATTTGACTAAACCTTTTGTATTTTCCATCTTCAGGTCCTGACCCACAACTATATTTATGCCCTGAATGCCTGGCTGCTGTTCTTCCCCTGGTGGCTCTGTTTTGATTGGTCGATGGGATGTGTGCCCCTGCTGCACAGCGTGGGAGACCCCAGAATTCTGGCTCCCATTGCTCTCTGGCTCGGCCTTCTGGGATTGCTAACATACTGTGTCATTGGTTTGACGGATAACACAAAACGGTAAGCATTGTACCCAACATAGCCTGCTGTAACGATTTCTATCACTAGCTGTCCTTTCTTAGCCAATATATACCATTATACATGTACATGTACATGTACATAGATAAAGAAAGATACATTGTAGTTGGATTGAGTTAGATTGGCTACCAAATAAAGCAAGCAGGGCCGGAACTACTAAAAACAGTATGAAATTGAGTCTTATCGTCAATTGGAGATCTGAAGTATAACTGGATTTACTTTAAAGACGTGATTGGTGGCCAAATAAACCAGATATACCCTGTACAGCCTGACTTATATATATAACTTCTATCACAGTGACTCTAGATGTAGAACTAACACCATTGGACTCGCCCTACTCCGTGGAGTGGCTGTCAACACAGATGTAGTATCATGCTGTCTTTCTTTAGCCATACCATTTGTAGATAAAGAAATATAGTTGGATTGAGTTAGATTTGCTGCCAAATAAAGCAAGGGCCGGAACTACTTTGACTCAATTTCAGGCTGTTTTTAGTCTTATCATCAAATAAAGAACTATAACAGGATTACCTTTAAAGTGATTGGTGACCAAATAAACCAAATATGCCCTGTATAGCCTATAGATGTAGTATCATGTAGACTTTTTTAGCCACACCATTATAGATAGATAAAGAAATATTGCTGGATTGAGTTAGATTTGCTACCAAATAAAGCAAGGGCCGGAACTACAGTAACTAGTACTTTGACTCAATTTCAGGCTGTTTTTAAAGTGATTGGTGGCCAAATAAACCAGAATTAGGGCCAAGCAGGAACTAACAATGATAGAATATGCTATTCTTGACAACTCTTTTTCAAAGAGTAGAATTTGAGTGAGAACTTAATTTCAAGTCCCATAGAAATGATATCATACATTTGAAAACAGTAACTTTCCATGTTATGCTATACTTATAAGTATAGCATAACATACTCTTGTTTATCTAATGCATATAGTTTCTTATAGCTACACCACACACCATTATAGATAAGTGAAGAAATATAGCAGCATTAGGCCTGATTGGCTGGCAGGGAAAAGCCCATGTCGGAAATGGGAAATCGATAAAGTCTATTTCCAGTCAAGCCTGGAGAACTTTGATTAGAATGATTGATACGTCAATCATGGTCCTTGTAGAATATTACATAATATGATATAAATCATAGCCTGGTTACCAAAGAACCTATTTTAGCTGGCGGGTCCTCATTTATCCTGATGCAGAGAAGAGATGTGAGTTTGTGAGTGATTGCGTGAGTGGGTGGCTGGGTGAGTGAGTGAGTGGCCCAATCATGGTCCTTGTAGAATATTTTAGTAGTAATAGTAAGGAAATTCCAAAAAGTTAACAGAAGTCACGTTCCAAGAGTAGACGGGTCCATTGCGGAAACAAGGTTGATGGAATCAGCCAAAAATTTGCTCAAGTCCCAATTCATTTCTGTGTTGGAGTTAAAATTTAGTCTTCATTTCATGACTTGTACCAACACAGATGAACTTTCATGCTAAGTTACCAGAATGGTTGGTGGTCCATATGCAGAGATGGTCACTTCTATACTTGCAGGTTGACTTTCTGGTTATAGCTTCTGTTTCAAAGATATCTGTTCGAATGTACAAAATGTACATTTGACAAGTGTTTAAACTTAAACTTAAAGAACCACCAAAAAGTTGCCAAGACAGTGAATGGCTGGTTGTCCTTAATATGCAAGTGGTCACTTGTATGACATGTATCGACTGTATGGTTATATAGGTTCTGTTTCAAAGTTATCTGTAACAGCATCTACAAAATGTACATTCATATTCCTGACTTCCCTCTCCAATTTCCTTCCGTGCGTCATAGCTGTAATCCATCCGGTATTGCCTCAGTGGCTAATCAGTAACCTACAGTAAAGTAGTCCCAACAGACTGAGGTACTTTAAAATGTATTTAACAGCCCTGTAGTAATACTAGCTCTTTGATCTCTCAGCCTTTTCCTGTCAGAAAACCCCAGGCAAAAGTGATTGTTATCTCTGAAAGCCTCTTACACTTTTTATTCATCTCACTTGTATCAGCATTGTTGTACATACATGTAGAGTAAGTTTAGAGTTCACTTTATAATGTATGAAGTTCACTTCGTAATGTATTGTTACATGGCTGTATAGAATGTAAATTTATTTTATAGTTATCTATCAGTATGAGCATCATATCGTATGATTGTCTATTCTTGATAACTGTTCGTTTGATTATTTTGAACTTATATGCGTGGTTTGTTAAATTTGCTAGAAGTATAGGATACAGGAGTTTTCTTTTACACAACCAAGATACATTGTAGTAGACAGAGGTTTTTAACAGCCTTGTAGTAATACAAGCTCTTTGATCTCTCAGCCTTTTCCTGTCAGAAAACCCCAGGCAAAAGTGATTGTTATCTCTGAAAGCTTCTTACACTTTTTATTCATTTCACTTGTAATTGTTGTACATAGAGTAAGCTTAGAGTACACCTCATTAAATTATGGATGGTATTGTTACATGTGTAGAATGTAAAATGTACTTTATACATTGTAGTATCTATGAGCACTACATTGTATGATTCTTCATAATCTTATGATTCATTATTGTTACTGTTAGACTTGCATTGTAAGTTTTTTTTTTAAAATTGTACACATGTACATGTACTTGTGACCACCATTAACATCTGTGTCCATAATATCACCAGGGTCCATAATATCGCCACCTTGAGAAATAGTGTGCTGAAAGATATTTTTTACTGCAACATACTTTTGGTATGCACTCCTTCACACATCAAATGTACATACCTAGGGTATGTTGCAGTAAAAATTATCTTTAAGCACACTATTTCTCAAGGTGGCGATATTATGGACCCTGGTGATATTATGGACACAGATGTTACATATTAAGAACAAACTGGTGGTTCCTTATATAATTTTCCCATTGACACAAGTATTAAGAATCCTGTCTATATACTTGTAGTGACTACCTGTCCACACTTTGACCATTTTCTTAAGACAAACTAAAACTTCTGTATCTTTCTTTCCTCAGGGTCATCACCTTGGGCCTAGCCGTGCTGATTGTGCCCTTTCTCCCAGCATGCAACCTGTTCTTCACGGTGGGGTTTGTGGTAGCGGAGCGGGTGCTGTACCTGCCCAGTGCTGGGTTCGTGTTGATGGTCGTGGCTGGAACCAACGTACTGTGTCAACACTGCAGCTGGAAAAAGGTACCTTTTTTTTATGTTCACCTTTGAAGGAGGAAACAACACAACTGTATATTTTCTTTTTGCTTTGTTTCTTCTTCTTTAAACACATGAGGTCAATGACCTGGACAAGATGGCTGCCACCATGGTAACTGGAAAAAGGTGCAGTTGTTTTATCTTTATCTTTGCAGAGGGAAACTACATTGTTTTTGCTCTGTTTCTTCTCTTTTTACAAAATGATTAAGGGCAGTTACCTGGACTAGATGGCTATCCCTATGGTAACTGGTGCTGTAGCTGACACCCTGTGGTGTACATAATATGTAGCAAGTGGGTGGACAGAGTTGAAGGGGCTAGTCACTATATACATGTATTAGAATGGACAGAGCAGTGATATGAAAAAGCACTGTCATTTTCTTGTCAGCAGCTTTTATCAAATGTCAACCAGAACAGGTACATTTGTAAAGACCCTGGAGATTCTGAAATCCCTGCAAAATATGAAAATGTCACTCAGTGTCTTATCATACTGTTACAGTTATTACTGTTGACTTGAATACCAGGCACTTGCTTATGACTACAGTAAAGTCCCAAGAATCCAGCAAAGCTTTAATAAATGTTGAGTTGTAGTGCAAGGACTTACAATGATACCTTGACTTGAATTTTATGGCTTTTCTATACTCATGCTGGTAAAATGATTGCTTCAGTAAATGCCAAATGCACCAGTACAGTCATGTTTATTGGTCTTGTAGGCATTTTCTTGAAACCATAGATTTGCTAGTGACTTTCCCAAACTGCCGTGCTGTCAAAAGATAACAGATTTTGTACGTAACCATCCCTTAATATTTAGATGCCGAATGTGCCAGAATGTATTGCATGTTGATACACTTTCTTGAAACCATAGATTTGCTTGTAAGTGACTTTCTAAAGTATTGCTTTCAAAGGATTACAGATTTTTTGTGTGACAATCACTTCAGAAAATGATAGATATACCAGAATATATTGAGCATTTGTGCAGTTTCTTGAAACCAGAGATTTGCTGGTGACTTTTCAAAGTCATGCTGTCAAAATGACAAATTCTGTATTAACCATCATTTCGGGAAATGTTGCATGTGCCAGAATGTATCAGGTCTACGTGCAGTTTCTTGATGACATGAACATCTGTTTTTGAGCCGCACATAAGTCAGATTGTCAAGAACACAAATACTGTAATGTATGTAACGACCACTTCAGAAAATGTTGGATCTGCCAGAATATGTCTGGCTCATGTGCAGTTCCTTCTTGCTTTCTGTTTTTGAGCCACAAGTCAGAATGATTGTCAGAAAAACAAAGTCTGTATGTAATGACCACCTCAGAAAACATCACATGTACCAGAATGTATTATGTCTATATATGTGCAGGACATTAATGGCATATAAGCATCCTTCTTGCTTCTATTTTTGAGCCACACACATGTCAGATTGTCAAAAGAACAAAGTCTGTATGTAGCGACCACTTGAAAATATTCAATCATTGGTTGTGCAAGAACTATCATTTATTACTTTTTTAATGGCATATGAGCATTCTTCTTGCTTTCTATTTTTGAGCCACATACAAGTCACACTGTCAAAAGAACAAATACTGTACATATATATAATGACCACTTCAGAAAACAACAGATGTCCCAGAATGAATTTTGCTTACGTGCAGGTCCTTGAAAGACATTACACCTTACTGCTTCCTGTTTCTGATCCACACACAAGTCAGAACAAAGACAGTAAAGTCTGTACATGATGACCATTAAAAAAAATGTTGAATGTGCCAGAATATATAGGGTTTACAATGTACATGCTTTCTTGATGACATAAAGATTTTTCTTGCTTCCTGTTTTTGAGCCAAAGTTTCATTTTCCGAAATCGCCAAAAGTGCCAGAATGTATCAGGTTTACGTGCATTTTCTTGAGGGAATAATTATATCGCACTGCTTCCTGTACTTGAGCCACATACTAGAAAGACTTAAGTAAAGCTCTTACCGGTATCTCACTTAAGAATCCTCTCCATCAAACCATTATGTGAAGCTCTGCTTCCTTCTTACATTCTTCAGCCAAAAGCTAACAGATTTTCTTGACGTCATCTGCTGTTACCCCAGATTTGTCATAATACAATGTAGAAGAGAGGCAATACTTCAACATCAGGGCTTGAAATTATTTTTTCTGTATATCTACACTGGTGCAGGTAACATTGAAAATAACCTGCATCAGACAAATTTTACCTGAACCACTAAGAAATTAGGAAGTGCGGATCACACTAAAAACTGTTCAGAAACCATTGCCGTTGTTTATTGGACTTCTTACAGTGAACCATGTTTTTTCAGGTTATTCAGGCTTTCCTGGGGTTGATAATTGTTTTCAACATCATCAGATGTACAGTGGTAAGAAAGATTTTACCTTACTTGAACTTGAACCTTATAGTAATAGTTTAGTCTGAGTTGAGTAGTACAGCTATTTCCAGATAATTTTTGTAAAGAGTTAAGGAAATGAACTACATCCTGACACTTTTATTCTCAGTCACTGATGAAAGATTGACATGTGGATGCATCTGACTGTTGACCTGTTGCTTAATTTATTTGTATTTAAGTTTGATGCTTTTGTGTTCCCAGAGAAGTGCAGAGTGGGTTACAGAGGAGGCCCTGTTCACATCAGGACTCAGGGTCTGTCCACTAAACGCTAAGGTGAGACACAGGAAAACATCTAGTTACCTTTTTGTGTTTCATCTTTTAAAGTTAAAGTGTACTGAATAAAATATTAAAAGGGTTACAATCATAATTGTTATTAGTCACATTCATGAGCTTTCCTTGTGTGTTCCTCTCCCAGGTTCATTACAACATAGGAAAAATCCGAGGAGACCAGGGTCGTACAGATGTCGCTATAGCAGCTTACAGACATGCACTCAGGTTAGTACTAATATTACAGTAAAAACTGTGTTAACTTCTGTATAGCTGGTATAACCACCCCTTGAGGTATAGACACACCAGCTTCGCAGGCATGTGGCACGGCAGCAGCTGGTTATATTACACCAAACGACTTGTTACACCTAATACAACCTTTGCCTTCTAACTACAACCGTTGTTCAAAGCTATTTAATAGTCGTCATACATCCAGAGACATGAATGTATATCCCTAGAGATACAATGGTACTTCAAAAAAATATTTTAGCAAAATGAATGTTGGCATACTGTCTGTGTCCGTTAACTAATGGGTTATTTCAGTCAGGGCAAGAGTTTGTCTTTGTCTTTATCTAGTTACTATCAGCAATTAAATGTGAGTGCCTGATGTTTCCCCAGACTGAACCCAGAGTACGACCAGACCATGAACAACCTGGCTAACATACTGAAGGACAGGGGGGAGTTAGGGGAGGCAGAGCTACTGCTGGAGAGAGCTGTACAGATCAGGTGAGTTTTAAAATTAGGAAAGTCAAGTGGAATTGATCTTGAACCACTTTATCTCAAATGAACTCAGTGAACACTAGAAAACTGAAAGATTTTCAAAATGTATCCAGTTAAGTTGCTTGAGCAACAGTTTTCTTCTTTATACTGTGTCTTGAATCTTACCTTCATCTACTCAATGAATTGAGCTAATCTTAAACTGGTCATGACAGAGAAGACAGATGTTAATATGTACAGTATTTACAGCTAGGTTCATTGTGCTAGGGAAATTCCTGTCTTTTTCATACAATGAATAGTAAATGTACATGGGTGAATGACAACAGTCAGGATCAGAACTCACAACTTCTAGGGCCAGAGGCAGGGCACTAATACTACAACCCAATTCATTTTGAACTATTTATTCTGACCTTTACCAACTTATGTTCTGAGTTCAACAACTGCATTGATGTACAGTCAACTGGAAATCACAGATTTTGTTATCAGCATTTGTACATTTGGAAACTTGGATTTTGGTTCACATTTAGGTTTACATCTACCCGCAAATGTACCTACAAACCCATCCCTGTCTAGGCTGTATTGCACTGTGTCTGTCTGATAAACCTTACTGCACTCCTAATGTGCTGTTAGGACAGTAATGTACAAAATGTAGAGGAGAGCAGGGTTAGTAGGGGGCAAAATGTGCAAGCATGACAAATGTAGAGTTTGAAATGGCCAAAATGGAACCAAGGAATGGTGATGTCTTCTTTAGGGACTGGCATCAAGACATAGTATTACATAAAAGTTAACTTAAAAGGACCAAAATTATTTTCTTATCTAAATGTCCTCTGACTCTTAGAGATGAAGAGTTTTGTAATTTCTTGGGAAAAATGTCCACTTTGAAATGGCCACAATGGACCGAAGGAATGGTGATGTCTTCTTTAGGGACTGGTAAATACGTCAAGAAATACATAAAACTTAAAAGGACCAAAATTATTTTCTTATCTAAATGTCCTTTGTGACCCTTAGAGATGAAGGATTTCCTATTTCCTTGGGAAAAATGTCCAGTTTGCAATGGCCAAAATGTGCCAAAGGGACAGTGATGTCTTCTTTAGGCATTGGCTATCACATTAACCTGGTCCCAAAAGTATTTTCTCAATGAAATGCCTTCAAGATGAACCATTTTCTTTAAGTATGTAGCAGTACCCATAACAGAGTTGATGAGTTTTGGAAAGTTACAAAAACGTTTGGTTGTACATGTATAGGCCAGACAAACTCACTTTCAACAAATTTGATTTTAAAAAAAAAGCCAACTTACACTGCTTTTTATCTTCAGATTTAATGCCATATTTTAGTCCAGAAACCTGACCTCCCAAGCAGTACAATACAGGCAAGATACAGATAGGTGCTTGTTCATTGTATTTTTTCTATTCATGAAGCCATGTTTTTTTCCTTTTAGACCAGAGTTTGCAGCAGCCTGGATGAACCTGGGGATCGTGCAGGCTCAGCTGAAGAAACCACAGTTAGCCGAGCAGAGCTACTGGACAGCCATCAAACACAGGAGTCAATTTCTGTTTGAAATTAACAGTCTGTATCATGTTTTCTGTAGACCAGAGTTTGCTGCAGCCTGGATGAACCTGGGGATCGTGCAGGCTCAGCTGAAGAAACCACAGTTAGCCGAGCAGAGCTACTGGACTGCCATCAAACACAGGAGGAAATATCCCGACTGTTACTACAACCTCGGCAACCTGGTAAATATCACAACCATTACATGTACTACAACCTGGGTAAACCTGGGTAACCTGCAAAATATCCTGACTGTTACTACAACCTGGGCAACCTGGTCTGTATACAGACAGCCTTAGAGGGCATTTTGAAGCAAGATTAAGCTGTAATTTCCAACACAAGAATTTTTCTACTGTACAACTCCTTTCTTTGTCAAGAAATGAGCAATCCACTGCTTCTGTTAGTATTTGAAGACATATTGTAGTTGACTGCGTGTCTACATGCATGTACCGGTAGTTGACGAGTACCAGTATGTCGTAGTGCACTGGAGACCAAAATAACATGTACAGACAGGATTTTTATAAAAAGTTATGATTTTCATCTAAGATCCCAGATTTTTTGTCCAGTGATTGAAAAAACTTGAAGCCCGTTTGTATTTTCCACAGTATTTGGAGCTGAAGCAGCACGGTGATGCACTGAACGCCTGGAGAAACGCTACCCTTCTAAAACCCCAACACACCCTCGCATGGACCAACATGATTGTTCTACTGGACAACCTTGGTGAGAGACCTAGTTTCCTTTTCTTTGTGCATGTGTATGTACATGTACATGTATGTGTGTGGTTTACATGTAGCTATAGCACGATACCTCAAGATGCTATGAATGGATTGGTGATTTTGATTGAAACTTGGTACCTATGGTATGTCTTGATGAGACCTGAAAATATTTAGATTTTGGGGTCCTCCTGGTGGCTTAAATGTACTTTCTCTTTCACAGGAGATTCCTGTGTGTGTGTACGTGTATGTACATGTATCTATGTCTACTATGCGGTTTAGCACGATAACTCAGGAAGCTATGAATGGATTGTCATCAAACTTTGTAGCTAGGTAGGTCTTGCTTGATGAGACCTGAAAATGTATATTTTTGGGTCCTGATGGTGGCTTGAATGTACTTTTTCTTTCACAGAAGATTTCTGTGTGTTCACACATGTACATGTATCTATATAATCTATGACAGTCACTATGATTGTGGTTTAGCATGATAACTCACTATTTTGGGTTCCCTGGTGGCATATATTATTATTATAATAATAGTGTACATTTTTCCCACAGGAGACTTGAGTAAAGCTGAGGTTGTAGGGAAAGAGGCAGTGAAGGTTCTGCCAAACGACCCGTCCATACAGTTTACTCTGGCTAACGTACTGGGCAAGGCCAGCAAGTATCAGGTATACATCCTTTCACATTTCCTTAAGTTTATCAACAAGACATCTTAGAGATTGAGATTTCACCACCTTCCCTTACCTCAGAAACACACCTGTCAGACTTTCTCTGAGTGATAAAGTACATGTACAAATGCAGTGATGTAGAGAGATACAGTGTACCTACACATACAGTATATCATGTAACAGTGATAAGGGCAGTAGAATAAAAGGCACCATGGCATATTTACAAAATTGCCATTTTAAAAGATAATTTTCTCTTAGACTAGAGCTTAACGTGCTAGAAAATTCCTATTTGGGAACTGCTTGAAGAATTGTCTTGCCTTGCTTTGAACGCCATGCCATTTGGGGAGATATTTCTCTTTTTATACCTCTGTCTGTAATGGTAAATTTGTGCCCACAGGAGGCTGAGAAGCTGTACTGGAGAGCCATAGACAAGAGCCCAAAGGCAGCGAACTACCATGGAAACCTGGGTATGTAGCAAACATTGAAAAAAGGTTGAAAGATGAAAGATACTAGTAGTAGATGCTATCTGAAACATCAGACTCTTCATAAAATCTATCCAGTCGCTTGATTTATTCTGTACAATTATTATGTAATGCTCTAGTACATGGATGTCTAACCTTCATGAAAGTTCAACTTTCTGAATGGTAAGCTTATAAAAACTTTTGCCTAGGGCAGCAAACTACCATAGAAACGTTCACTGCAGTTGTGTGAATGGTTCTGTGCATTCTGATAAAAGATAGTTACTACCATCTGAAATGTCTGTTGTTTGTCTGAATCTTTACTCAGTGGCTTGATTTTTTAGGTAACTCTTCTTTGTGGATGTGGATGCAAAAAATCATTCTGCCAAGAGTCAACTTTCTGTGCAACAGCTTACAAAAACCTCTGCCATTAATAAAGGAACTCAGTTGTGCCAAAATGTGCTATTTTAGGGGACTATTACAGTAATTACCAGCTGCACATAGCTGGAAACCTGACATGGTTTGATTGACTCCCTCCTAAGGCTCGTCTGACATTTGGAAAAGAAACTGAGAGTGTAGCTTCTACTTTGCATTATGACACCACGTGTGGTAAATGAAATACAGGGCTGGAAATACATGTACCACCTACATATGCAGGTATAGGTAAAGTTAAAGCCTTACACAGTCAGGTATTTGAGCCTGGGTATTTCTGACGCCTTCCTGCCCCTGACCTGCACTGTTCCACTATAAATCCAGTCTGCAACTCGGCCCCACCAAAAATTGGGCATTTTTCAAAGTTACATTATACTAGAATACAGCATGACATTAGACGTATTACCAGTACAACTAGAATCATAGTCCAAGCAGTGCTTTTCATGGGCTAAAAGTTGAAGACAATGAGTGCTGCAGGAAAAATTTGTTTAGTGCAGGTAATTCTGAATGCTAACTGTACCAGTGCAGATTTGGAGACAAACATATTTCAAGTCTGTTAGAAGAGTGAAAAAGTGCATGTTGTGCTTGAATGCTACCCATACCAGTGTAGGTAGGTATGCAGAAAAAACAAAATTATTTCAAGCCCCGATATATGAAGTATTTGAAGCATGAAGAGCACCTCCGTGTGTGGTACAGCCTGTACTTACAGTTCTCCGCTGGGAGGGTAATTGTCGGTAGTTATGGCAACATCAGTGTTCCACAAAGCTGGGAGTGAGAGAACTGGCGTCAGGCTGACGCTGGGAGCTTTATCTTATACCTGCAGAGCCCCACATGCTGGGTGATTATAGAGCTGTCGTTCCTAAACTGTTTCCCACTGCTGGCAGAAATGGTGTTGCTGATGTTTTAGGCTGCGAGATTTTTCATTTTAACAGTTCCTGTTAACAGTTGCAGTGTCCTAGCCAGCGTCTATCTTTCTGTCATTTGAAAGAATTATACTGCTCATGAAATTTTGCCCAATCTGTCATCTTTGACACTCAGACAAAATCAATGAGTAAAGATGTGGAAAGCTACCTTCAAAATGCAGGAAAAATAGTGTTCAATAGGGTCAAGATTTCAAAATTTTGTTATAGTACAATATTGAGAAAAGTGGCAAACGGTCCACCTTGTACAGCTGGCCCAGCAGGTGAAAATATTGGTTTGTGCAAAGAACTTTCAGACTTATTAAACTATAAACACTATAGTAACTTCATTACAATAATATTGTACTTTTCGTGCTATCGGGGCATTCTATGAACACTTTGAATGCAGTGATTAAGACTATACTTGTAACTATATATGTTTACAGAAGAGTTATTTATATATGGCTGATCAATTTGTTATATTCATCTTTTCTTTGGAATTATGATCAGTTAGACATTATGTTCTATTCAGTTATTTAAGTTATTTATACCTTTGTTAATTTTGTTGGCACCTTTGTTGTTACGTACAACTCTGGATTATGTTCAGATTATTCTGTGCTTTTTTTAGGTCGACCTCTGACCTCTCCTATTGATTTTGAACTTACTTTATTATTTTGTAATCATCATTATGTACAAAGTTTTGTTATCTATGTTTTATTTTATTGACCCCAGGAAGAATAGTGCTTTTAAGCACTAATGGGGATCGAAATAAACAAACAAACAAACAAAAGTTGACGTTTTTCTCACCTGTTCTCCCCAGGTGTGCTGTACCACAGGTGGGGGAAGTACCCCGAGGCCGAGCGCTGCTACAAGAAGTCGATCGAGCTGGACCCGACGGCAGCCACAACGCAGGAGAACCTGGTCAAGCTACAGAGAACCATGAACAAAAACGCTTCACGGGAACACGGGCTGGGCAAGGGAAGGAGATAGACTTTGGCCAGACACTCAAGAAAAAAGATGCGTATCTTTCTGATAGTATCCTTGCAGAGTCATTTTACAAGTACCTCTCCTAGGATAAGTTGCAGAGAACCATCAACAAGATTGGGAACACGGCAAGGCAAGGCAAGACAAGGAGATATAACATTTTGGAGAAAATGTGCTCAAGACTCCTTTTACAAAAGTATGGAGAGAAGAGGTGTTTTTTACAGCATCAAGTATTGTACATTATGTACAGTGCAGTATGTTTGGTTTACAGAGAGCTACATATACATGAACAAGGTAAGCCACAAGGGCAGGTGAACAATTGGGTGTACATACTTTTGAGTGCATTCTTCAGAACTTAAACAGAAAGTGGTAAAATATGTCTCAGTTCTAAGAACCATGAACAAAAGGTCACCCAGTGCACTAGTGATACCCTCCCTAAAAAGTTTGTTAGGACGTGTATCCTCCCCAAAGTATTCTCCCAGAGGAGAGAGACGATGATGTTTTTACACAATGCAGACTACATGACACAATATTTGCACCAGGCATAACAATTTGCCTAACAAAAGTTTATTGAGGTGAGAGAATGAGTTAAAAGTTCCAGACTATGGTTCATGAGTTTGAAATGAGTGGGAGAAAGATATCTAGAATTCCCAATCCTTATAAATCATAATTTGGATTGTAAGCAGGTTAAAGACATTACTGGTTGTGTAAAAGAAAACCCCAATGTCCTATGTTCTACGAACCTGTTGAAATTATTTTCCAATCATTGGATTGTGTTAAACTATAGGAGGCAAATTTTACAAATGTCAACACAGCTCAATATAAACCATTACCAACACCTGTGATATAAAGCTGACTATCACCTCAAAACACAAGCCTCTGTAGGCAGCTATTGGAGTTTATCACATTGTTCTAACTCCTCTGGAAAATTATATTCCTAAACAAATTATGTTCTTGCAGTCTGTCAGAGCCTGATAAAATGCATCTGTATGGGTATCAAACAAAATGAATCACTCCTTCAATCATAATGACTTACAATTAGATGTTGGATTGGAACATAAATTACCAGTACAGCAAAATACCAGAAGTGAAGTTTTAAATCATGACAGGTACCATCTGGAAGTGCATGGAACTGTAATAAATGTCATTGAATCATTGGCTAATTATAGGAAGTAAATGTCAGTACAGCTACATGTATGCCAATCTCAATGTGTGAGATTTAAACTTAGCTGCCAACCGTTACAACGCAATTCCACATACATAATTGAAGAAGTGAAGTTCCAAATCATGAAAGGTAGCATCTGGAAGTGCAGAGAACTGTAATGGCTATCATTGATTCATGGCTAACTACAGGATGCAAATGTCAACATAGCTATGTTTTAACTTGTCTGCCAACCATTGCAAAACAACTCCACATAGGCAACAATTAGACATAATCACCTGGCAAGAGTTGAATTTTCAAATCATGAAACTGTAATAAGTATCATTGAATCATGGCTAACTACAGGATGAAAATGTCAACATAGTTATGTGTACACTCATCCTAATGTTTGAGATTTAAACTTGGCTTCCAAAACAACATTCCCTGTAGGCAACAATTACACATAATCACTTGGCAAGAGTTGAATTTTCAAATCGTGAAAAGTAACATCTGAAACTATAAGTATCATTGAATCATGGCTAACGACAGGATGAAAATGTCAACACACATACGTGTACACCAATCTCAATGTCTGAAATTTAAACTTGGCTGCCAAAACAATTCCCTGTAGGTAACAATTAGACATAATCACTTGCCAAGAGGTAAATTTTCAAATCATGAAAAGTAACATCTGAAACTGTAATAAGTATCATTGAATCATGACTAACTAGAGTTCCACGATCTCATACCTTCGCCAAATGATGTTAGCTTTTATGATTAAGAAATTATATATTAATCCCCCTAATGATGCAAATAGGATCCTCAATTGCATGAATTATATCTGTTGATCATATTCTCCACCAAAAGACAGTCTTATCTTAACAAAGAATGCCATGATGACATTTTCTCATAAATTATGCAAATGAGGTCCTTATTTGAATAAGTTATGTTTAATTATGTTCACCTTAACTTAACTTTCAAACACCCCAAGTATAAAATTCCAGGCAGTTACCACTATGCAATTATAATATTTTCTCATTAATTATGCAAATTTAGTCTTCATTTGCATAATCGATATCTGCCTGTGTTTCTCTCATTCTTAATAACATATGTCACAAGCTTGAACTTCCTAGTATGGAATGCAGCTGATAAATAGAATTTCCTCATTAATTATGCAAATTACATCCATATTTCCATAATTGTAATATCATTATGTCAAGCATCACTCAAGCTACCTACATATCAAAAATCACGATGATCCATCAATCGGTTCTTGAGTTATCCCCATTTAAACATTTGTCCATTAAACCCCCCTGAAGTTCTAGAGCAAGCAACTAGGGGGCTCAAACTCATGTCACTTTATCCCCAGCACAAGAGCTATCTACCATCCAAATTTCGTCACCCTAGCATGTCTGGATTATGAGATATCAAAACCGGAAGTTCTGCTGCAGTACCATGACAAGCCGCCAGGTGGCCCAAAATCTAATCATTTTGAGGTCTCATCAAGACCTACCCACCTACCAAGTATCAAGACAATCCATCAAGACCTTCTCAAGTTATCGTGTTGACACACACACACACACACACATACACGAACGCCCCTGAAAACATAACCTTCTTGGCGAAGGTAACTACAGGATGCAAATGTCAACACACATACATGTACAGCAATCTCAATGTTTGAGATTTAAACTTGGCTGCCAAAACAATTCCCTGTAGGTAACAATTAGACATAATCACTTGGCAAGCATTGAATTTTCAAATCATGAAAAGTAACATCTGAAACTGTAATAAGTATCATTGAATCATGACTAACTACAGGATGCAAATGTCAACACACATACATGTACAGCAATCTCAATGTTTGAGATTTAAACTGGCTGCCAAAACAATTCACTGCAGGTAACAATTAGACATAATCACTTGGCAAGCATTGAATTTTCAAATCATGAAAAGTAACATCTTGAAACTGTAATAAGTATCATTGAATCATGGCTAACTACAGGATGAAAATGTCAACACATGTACATGTACACTCATCATAATGTTTGAGATTTAAACTTGTCTGCCAACCATTACAACATAACTCCACGTACTAGGTAACAATTAGACATAATCACTCAGCAAGAGTTGAATTTTCACATCATGAAAAGTAACATCTTGAAACTGTAATAAGTATCATTGAATCATGACTATATGATGCAAATGTCAACACACATCTGGCAACTTAAACTTGGCTTCCGAAACAATTCCCTGTAGGCAACAATTAGTTGTTATCACTTGGCTAACTCCTCTGGCAAATTATCCTTCATAGCTTTCCAATTTCGGTTCTTTCGATCTCAGCCAGAAAGAAGCGTGTTGACGCCCGATAGTTAAACATGCGTCAGACGAAATAAATCACAAGAAATGACGGCCAATTAGATGTGGGATTTGAACACATGTTGGAATTTGATGAACACGAATCATTTACCTCGGAGAATAAGTCGCAATTAGGCTGCAGAAATCTGCAGTGAGGGAAATGAAGTGGATATGGGCGATTATTACGTCTGTCGAGACTCTGGTTTGCTCTGATCTGTGAAGGACAAGCGCAAGAACGTTTCCACTTCGTTAAAAGTTTGAGAAGTCAGGGAAACTTTCCTGGTTCAAGCCATGACATTGCTTCAGGTTTGGAGAGAGAGTTATGCAGACAGAGCCTAGTAGTATGGATGACATTTATCAAGAAAAAAAAACATCATTTGGACCAGGGCTTTGCTAAAGAACAAGGCTCTTATAATTAGTAATACGTACAAATGCTGGTATTTATTTTGATTCTATATTTATCAGTCAGTTTCAGGCTTTTAAACAGAAAATGGCTTTGTTATTTTATAATGCAAATATAAGGCTTGGAATATCTGCTTGGTAGCCTCTAACTTATGGCATCACCATCACTGCTTTAAATGAAAAAAAAAAACAGCAACTTTCAGGCTCTTTTTATGAAATGTTCACAGGCTTTCCATAGGCATGCAAAAACACTAATTTGTAGAATCCAGACAAGAAGCTAAGGCCTTACAAATGCTAGAGCCAACAGCAGAATAGAAAGCGGCCATTTATTTCACTACAGTAAGCACAATTGAAATTCCAACAAATGCATCAGATTACTCAACCCTGATAGGAATAGTTTGAGCGGAAATGAGATTGTTTGATTGATTGTGGAAAAGCCGCAAATTACAACGTTGTCTGCCGTTGAACGCTCATGGGCTTGGTAACAAAATGGAACTCTGAAAGGGCAAAGGTGGGCGAACACTGCACCAAATTGGCTGATTGATCTAGATTGTCCCTGTACAAAGTAGATCACAATGCAGAGATAATTGTGTTGCTCTGTAATGTAGCTTGATTGGAAATGGGTCTCTGTTATGAGCTGTATAAATGCCATTCGTCACCCACGATTGCATGATTTCTGTTTCCAAATTAACTTGATAAATTGGGTGATGGGTGAAACTTGTGTGGTGTTGAAAAACACTTATCATCCATGTCAAGACGAACTTTTAAAGGACTTTTACCACAGCTGCAAGGACAGGTGTGTATTTATGATTTTAAAGTTAGATAACTCAGAGATTATATGAGACACTTTCTGAATGCAGTCAATTTTGGTTTCTCTCCATACGCTACACTGTAGTAGAGAGTACATTTAATTTTGCCACAAAATCAAGACAGTGTACTTTAAATTTCCTACTATGGCCATTGACACTCGTAACAACTGTAATTGTTCTGAGTTCTGACACTGGGGAATAAGCCATTATAGTAGTAGTCAGTCTAAAACATCCAGTATATAGGTAAGCAAGGTGTTGTAAAAAAATAGTATCACACTTAAACTTAAAGCAGTATTTTGAAATGACTTATGCTTGAGTGCGTAGGGTGGGCTTGACACAGGGTATCCAAATTCACATGACAGTGTACAGTGTAAGCACAAACCATTCTGATTATTATCAGAAATTATAAAATGATACATGTTCTACTGTCTGTAATTCATATTTGTGTTTTCTTTGACGTACGATGTACATACTGTATATTGTGTCATTGTTGTGGTGCAATTATAAACCAAGTTTCTTTTAAAGGTTGTAAATATACTTACAGCTTGGTGAAAATAGATATTAAGATAGTGTTTTGTGGCATCGCAATGCTGTTTAAAGATGCTGCTGCATTTGATACTTCGGAAGAAAATATCTGATAGTTTTCTAACCATCGTGTTTCAGTAGTTCAGTAGATAAGTAGTTGTTTTTACCTCTCCTTCTGCTAAGGACTCTTCCCTGCACCTGAAATCGGTTGCAGTAGTGTTATATATATTAGGGTTAAATGTATTTGGTGCTTTGTTATAATGTTGACTACAATACAATATTTTGAAATGACACTCAACATACATGTATATGTTAAGTCAAAGTCTCATAGATGTAGAAATTTGGTGGAAATTTTGACATTTATCTAGCCTTCTGTCAAAAGCAATTTTGAACCTCAAATATATGTTAACTATGCAACAT